AAGCACTGACTTTGGACCAGGTCATGATCTCCTGGTTCATGAGTTCAAGCCCCGCATCGGGCTCTGTGCTGATAGCTTAGAGCCTAGAGTCTGCTTCAGATCCTGTGTACCCCGCCCACCCCTACCCCCGTCCCTTCCTCACTTGTGCTCTGTCTCTCTCAAAAATAAAATAAATATTACAAGAAGTAAAAAAAAAAAAAAAAAAGTGATAAAAGCAACTGGGAGTTGATAGTCACATTAGATAAAGCGGATTAAATATCTGCAGGACTTGCATTCTGGGTCCAGGCGACAGACTTTGAACATTCTAGTAAAAGGTGCAGAAGGCAGATGTAGCTAGATATAAATAAGACCTTCAAATAATTGGTATGGTTTTACAAAGGCATGAGTGGCCTTGGAAAGAGGGAGCACCCTGTTGCTTGCAGGGTGTCTGCAGAGGCTGGAAGAACCTTGCTGGCTGGTTGAGGGTCTCCCTACAGTAGAGGGAATTGAGTGTCCTTCCAACCGCAAGGTTTTAGGAGTCCACAAGACATATATAGGTTGCACTGGCTGCATGCACTAACCAGATATGATGAAAGCTCCAGGGTGTTCTAATCTCCTCAGTGTGAAGATGGGTCTGCATCGTCATTGACTGTTTTTCACGGGCTCAGCCTGTGGAAGGCTCTGATGGAAACTTGAAAGAGCCCGAGTTCCCACCTGCTTGGGGCAGACATTCTTCCCGCTCGTCAGTGTTTGTTCTGGCCACAAGCCACTGCAGAGCTCAGCCGAAGGGGATGAACTCTGGTACCTGTGTATTGCTGTGAGCAGCAGGGAGTGGGACCCAGAGGGATTCCAGGAAGGCCCCAGGGGTGGGGGTTAGGGGGTGGCTGGTGGGAGATGAAGTTTCCCAAGAATCTCTGAAGCCAGCCCAGGAGCAATGCCATGTCTGGTTCAAGCCTTCAGACAGGGATCACTGGTTTGGAGGAGAGAAGTAAAAGGGCATATGGGCAGCATAAAAAATAAAAAGAGGATGATCCACATGCACATAAGATGTGCGATTCAGTGGCAGCCACTAAATGGCTTGAAGCAGAGGAGTGATGGGATTTTATTTGTGCCTGAAAAAAAAAATCACTGGGCAGTTCAGTGAAAGGCTGCAGAGGTATAAGATTTGAAAGCAGTGGGCTGGTCAAGAGACGGAGGTGGGTTAGAAAGGGTGGCAGACAAGGAGCTGGTGAAAAGTGGTGAGCTTAGGGAAGGACACTGAGGCACTGCTGACTGGACTGGTGGATGAGCTCAGGGCACATAAGGGATGGGGACCTGATGCACAAGGGACAAAGCATCATGTGTCCTATTTGCTTGGCAGCTGTTGGAGACCTTGGTCAGAAGTCCAGAGAATTTCAAATGTGCCACATGTTAAAGAAAATATTATGCTTAAAAATTTTCAAAATAAAGAATCACAGAAAAGTTTCAAAAAGAGCTCATCATCAGGGCTGTGTGGTATTGGCAAAAGAAAAAACAAAGAGATCAATGGGTCAGGCAGAAGAGAGTCCAGAAATAGACCCACACAAATATAGGCAACTGATCTTTGACAGGGGAGCAAAGACAACACAATGGAGCCAAGATAATCTTTTCAACAAATGTGCTGGAACAACGGGGCATCCACATGCCAACAAATGGAGTCTAGATACAGACCTCATACTCTTCACAATAATTAACTCAAAATGGATCACAGATCTAAATCTAAAATGCAATACTATTAAACTTCTAGAAGATAACATAAAAAAACCTAGATGACCTTGGGTTTGGTGACTACTTTTTAGATACAACACAAAGACATGGCCCATAAAAGAAGAACTGGTTGGGGCGCCTGTTTGGCTCAGTCGGTTAAGCTCCCGACTTCAGCTCAGGTCACGATCTCGAGGTCCATGAGTTCAAGCCCCGCGTCGGGCTCTGTGCTGACAGCTCAGAGCCTGGAGCCTTTTTCAGATTCTGTGTCTCCCTCTCTCTGACCCTCCCCCGTTCATGCTCTGTCTCTCTCTGTCTCAAAAATAAACAAACATTTAAAAAAAATTAACAAAAAAACCCATAGAATGCACAAAACCAAGAATGAATCCTAATGTAAACTAGGAACTTTGGGTGATAATGATGTGCCAATGTAGATTCATGAGTTGTAACAAATGTACCACTCTTGGAGGGATGTTGATAGTGAGGGAGGCTGTGTGTGTTGGGTGGGCGGGGGTGGGGGAGACAAGGTTTCTGTGGGAAATCTCTGTACCTTCTGTTCCATTTTCCTCTAAGAAATAGTCTACTAAAAAACAGCACAACTGAAACCATAAAACTCCTACAAGAAAACAGGGGGAAACCTCCTTGACATAGGTCTTGACCATGATTTTTTGGAATAATACCTAAAGCACAAGCAACAAAAGCAAAAATAAACAAGTAGAGCTACATCAAAGTAAAAGGCTTCTGCCCAGAAAAAGAAATTTTGTAGAAAATTAAAAGACATACTATGAAATATGAGAACATATTTGCAAAGCACATTTCTGATAAGGTGTTAATATAAGGAACTCAAACAATTCAATAGCAAGACTTCCAATAATCTAATAAAAATGGGCAATGGATCTAAATAGACATTTTCTCAGAGAAGATATTCAAATGCCCAACAGATCCATGAAAACAGGCTGAGTATCACTAATCATTAGGGAAATGAAAAAACCACAATGAAATATCACCTCACACCTGTTAGAATAGCTAGTATCAAAAAGACAATAAATAACAAGTGTTGGAGAGAATGTGGAGAAGAGGGACCCCTCATGCACTGTTTAGTGGGAATATAAACTGGTGTAGCCACTGTGGAAATAGTATGGAGATTCCTCAAAAAATTAAAAATAGAACTACAACATACGATCCAGCAATTCCACTTCTGGGTATATATGCAAAGGAAATGAAACTGCTCTCTTGAAGAGGTACCTGTACCTACATGTTCACTCCAGCATTATTCACAGTAGCCAAGTCAAGCCATGTACACAACCTATGGTCCATCAACAGATGAATGGATAAAGAAAATATGATATTTTTTGGCCATAAAAACGAAGGAAACCCTACGTTTTGCAACAGCATGGATAAACCTTAAAGGCATAAAGACAGACACTATATGATCTCACATGTGGAATTAAAAAAAGAAAACTAAACTCATGGAAATGAGACAGACAGGTGGTGGTTCCCAGAGTTGGGGGGGGGTGCAAAATGGATTAAGGTGGTAAAATAGTACAAACTTCTGGTCATAAGAGAAATAAGTCCCAGGGAATTAATGCACAGCATGGTGATTACAGTTAACGATATCATGTTGTATATTTAAAAGCTGGTAAGAGAGTGGATCTTAAAAATTTACATCACACAAAAAAATTGTAACTGTGAGGTGATGGATATTTACTAAACTTACTTTGGTAATCACTTTGCAATATATACGTATATCAAATCAGTGTGCGATACACCTTAAACTCATACAATATTATATGTCAATTGTATCTCAGTAAAACTGGAAAAAAATAGTACAAAGAAATTTTTTCCAAGTACTTAAACGATCAGTGGCCCACAAAATGCCCCATCATCTCAGAATGTTTTCATGTAAATTACCTAACATAGGGCATTCATAACCACAGCCATGGTTCGGGAGATCTCCCTTGACACACCACTACTGTTTAACCTCCAGACCTCATCCGAGTTTTTCCAGTAGTCCCTTATATCCCTTCATAGCAAAAGGACCCAAACTGAGGCCACATGTCACGTTCAGTGGCCACATCTCCTAGGTGGCTTTCAGTTTAAACCAGCTCCTCTGTCTTACTTTGGCTCTCAGGACCTTGATGTTTTTGAAGCTCACAGGAGAGGGACTTTGTTCAGTGACGCTAATTTAATGCTTTCTCGTGATTAGATCAGGTTCTGAGTCTTTGTTAGAACCATCACAGAAGGATGCTGGGTTCTTCTTTTGCATTCTACCAGGTAGAACGTGATTCTTAGTGTGTCCCTTTACTGATGATGTCTACTTGGATCGTTTCATGAAGGAGGTGTCTGTCAGGCTCACTCACATAGAAGTAGTCTTTTCCCCTTTGTGATCAGTAAGAATGTTGTGGGGAAGGAGTATGTAAATGTCCCATTTCCCATCAAGCATCTACCTACTGGTTGTGGTACTTATTGATTATTCCTGTCTATTACTATGATGTTGGCCAAAGAGGGGCTGCTCCAAATATTTGCTTAAGGAATGAATCTGCATCTCACAGCCCAAGATGAGGATGGGTGTGATCACATTCCCTTGTGCCAGGGAGTCACAGGGAGAGATATTCTTCCTCTTCTCATGAAGCCCAGCACAGGGCAGAGGTGGGAGAGATGCTCCCTCTACAAACTCACTTTACTGCTTTCCCCCTCATCCCTGCCAGCAAGCTGCTGCCTGTAAAGGATTCCTCCAAGACATTTAGTAGACCAAAACCTGATACTTGGAACAATTGTGGTCTTTCAGGAATGCAGTGGGGGGGGGGGGGT